GAGAGGCTAAGGATTTTGGAATTTGTAACTTTTTCAAGTTACAATGATAAAGAGAAAATCGAAGCATTTGAACACTTTCCGCCACTTGCCAGTTTTTGATAAATTAAGGTCGAAGCATCAAGGTTTCCATACGATTTATTAACCCGTCGCCGTAATAAATCTGTGGCTGGCTCTAGATGTTGTATCAATGTGACGGTCTTTCTGATCCATACTTAGAAATTCTGGGTATTACAATGAATAAGCGTCTCTAATTGTATGAGCAGGATAATTCATGGTCTTCTTGTAAGAACTATTATTCCAACTTATCAGCCTGTTTTTCTAACCTAACTTAACCATACGAAACAATTTTCATCAAATGCTTTGTGCCACTAAAATGCAAGTGACCCTATGCAACATTTCTAACGATTCCGAAGCCGTTAAAAAGTGCAGTAGGTGTCAAATTTGATCAGATGGTCACTACACTACACTATATTACTTCTACAAATCAGAAGAGCTTGCCGGTTTTTGTAAGAAAAATTAATATCCTGGGTAAAGGTAGATCAGATAAAACTTGCATTGGCGTGAAGACGAACTTTCGAAAAAGATCAGGTCATAAGGACCTAAACATATACGAGTACATTTGCCTATATGTGATATAATACCTTTAGTATAATATTAACTTGAATTGACAGTTTCTTCTCTCACTCATAAATTTGCTTTAATTTTGATTTTTTGCTTTCATAATTTTAAATCTTAATCGATTCACATGAGAAGACCTAAGTTAATTATAAATTATAGTCACTCAATTTTTTTTCACTCTGTATTGTCCATCCGTAAAAGTCGCATTGTCCAACGGACAATAACGGCAATTTTGTCGATAAAAATACGAGCATTGTCGGTGCAATATCAAAGGCGCGAAAGTACACAGTTTGCGCACACCTCCAATCAAGTACCGGCATGCCAATACACACTCATATGTGTTCACGCAGTACCCCCTGATGTGTTTGATACAGATAGAGGACAAAAGTGGCAAGTTTCGCCGATAACAGCAGCTGATATTTCGGTTGCAAGTAGGCTATTGCAGATACAAATGTATTTAGTTCAAATGTGCGATGCCATGATAATGAACATATTGATTATTTTTTGCTCACATACGGCTTCAAATCAATTCGATTTTTAATTGTCAATGGAGTGGTCAGAAGGCAAAGGAAAAAAAAAAAAACAACAGAGGACAGTAACAAAAAAGTGTATAGCATATAAATTGAGAAACATTTAATTTTGAGGTATGTCAGCTATTGTTATTGCTGTTGTTGTAATCACTTTAAGTTGACCAAGCTGCTTTGTAACAATACAAAGGTCACGCAGATTTATAACGCTCATTATGAGCAAAATGATTGTTGGCATTTTGAAGAGGCTACACTGTGCAAGCGACCGATTGAATTGGTTGGGTCCCCATACATGTGACAAATGCCTAGAGGAACGCGTTTAATTCGAGAGTGTTTCTGTGTCCGTCTGCATTGTTTGTGAAAATTCAGCAAAGGTGTTGTAAGAGTGCTTGTACAAGGTGGAGTGCACACAACAATAGACCAATTGTTTTCGAATAGAAGTAGAGGCGGCAAATAAATAAATGGCATTGCTGGCGCCTGTGTGGCCAGGATGCGTGAATGGAAGGACAATGAGTGGATAGAACAAACCAATCGAGATTTATGTTGCAATGTTGCGTGCCCTCGCCTTCGTGGTTGTGAACCCAGCAAGCATGCGCATTGTAGTTGCATTCATTTCTAGGCGCCCAAGTATAGAATTACTCTGACTGTACTAACTTATATACAACGTGTCAAAAATATTAAGCAGCTGATAAATAATTCATTCATAGGATTCTTGAAAATCTATTATACCTATATAAAAGATCTGTGTGACGAACGATATCAAGCGACGCTGCTGAAGTTTTAGTTAATATGCCGAACATTGACATCCAGGGAGACGAATTCGCGCGATTGCACCGGCTAACAGGAGGGAACCAAAAGAGGAGGCAGCAACGATGGTAAACATCAACCAAATTACGCTGGATCGACAGTCTAATCCCGGACATCCATTTTGTGGATAGATAGATAACATGGAGACCAAGACTTCCATTTAACCCAAATACTTAATAGACGTGGATGCTTTAGAAGCTATCGGCTGTGATTCCATCACGACCTTAGTGCGTACTGCCCGACCTGTAAAGAATACATAGAAGACTTTAAGCATGTAAATTTAAAAACTTAAGTTGGCGGTAGTTTTTCGGTGAAAAATTTGGCTACACTCATGTGTCAGTCCTCTGGTAAATGGAAAGCCTTCAGCGAAGCGTCAGCTTTAATTATGACAAAACTAAGTCATACGCAATACTTGTATATCAGGCCTCAGTCAGTTTGTGTTATAGACGAGACTGAAAGCCTTTCTTTCAACCATGAAGTAATACGTAATCCAATGGTTCCGTGGAAGAGATTTGAGTTGGGAGTTGGCTAGATTTAGCGGATTAAAGTTCGGCTGCTCGATACTTCCTAATATTTAAAATAAAGCCCGGAGCCAATTTCAATGATGGGCTAAATGGCTTATCTACGTTGTCCATATTCAGAATATGCGAAAGCATCCTCCATTTATTAGTAGTTGGTATTGCAGTATTATTCAGAGCAACTACAGTATCGGTCCAAAATCTTGCTATAAAGTCACATTCTATTGAAACATTACCAACAAACAGCAACTTAAAAAAAAAAAAATCAAAGATCTTTAAACCAGCACTGTGATCATTTCATTAAGCAAACAAGTACTTGAAAGTTCATGGCCTTATTATTGGACCTTAACAAATCAAATGCAAAAACCAAAAATTACTGTCGACGATCCTCAAACGACTAAAGTCCTCTGGACAAGTTCTTTCAGTCGGATGATCCTTAATGAAGCGATCGTCTTATATATGACCATGAGTCGTTTGTGAAGTGACGGTGAAAGATTTTTTAATATTTGTTTTCCAACAATAAGTTACAGATAATTTTCAAACAGTATTACTTCCACTTTATAATCTAATCAAATATGATGGACTAGTGCATGTTTTAGAATGTAATCACTACTTATCAATAATAAAAATAGAGACACAAAGTATTGAGTGAAAGTCGAGAAGTCATCGAAAACTTACTTTATGCGAGACGAGAATCAACATCGTTAAAGCTAAAGAAAATGTGCCTGAAAATCTTCCCTTTGACATCAGAGAGTTCTTAACATCTCTTATAGATCTACTCAACATATTTTGGTTAAAATTCCGGGTATGAAGCATGTCTATCCCAGTTTGGTACCAAAGGAACGTGGTGACTTCGAGTAGAGGTTGGAAAAAAGTGAGAATCAAACACTCACCAAATACATCTTTATTTGCGACGAAACTGGGGTTTGTGCATGTTATGTTGAAACTGACCAAATCAAAATTCGCTGAAGGCAGTGAAGGTCATACCAGTCATTAAGGATGCTGACATGCTTATGTTGGTTCGAAAGAAGCCTATTTTGAAGTTGATAATAAAGATTTATTTTAAAATTCGTGAAATTCATTGTTTTGTAAGCTTAAATTTGGCCAGATTATACTCTAAGTAACGGGGTTTGTTGCTTAGCCAAATTCACGATCATACGACGGTTCTGGTGGTCAAGTGACTTCAGTTCTTGCATCAATGTTGGATATAGGCCAAGATCTTTTCGCAAAATTCGTCACAACGACGTTACAGAGATGCCTAAAACATGAGAACGATCTTCGAGAGACTGATTTGGGTCTCAATTGATGAGATAGTGGCAGCAATACATATTCTCGACACTGCGGACACTTCTTTGTCGTACTGGCACGGGAACATTTTGTACTGTGATTCAAATGTTTCCACTTGACGCTCAATTGTTGATCTGATAGGTCGATTATGACGAAGATAAATTGTACGTAACGCACTAACTAAGAATCTCGGTTGTAAATTTAAATAGTTTCGATTCATTGTTGGATCGTATATTTATCCTTAATGAAATTACAAGCTTTACTGAAGAGAAATGTCGAAACTGCCGAAAAAAATATGGCGTCGTTTTCTGTTCAAATCTACCAAAAGGGGAAGTTTCGTGACTTTTGATTTCACAATTATTTTCGAAGACGCCAGAGGTAAGTAAAAGCTTTCCCCCCTTACTTTGCTAGCATTAATTTATGCCCACCAAATAAAAAATGCAGTATCAGTATTTTATATATGCATGTAAATAAATATTTTATTATTAAGGGTATAATTTAAATGAATAAATACTTAAGTAATTACAACACAATTAAAACTTCATTAAATTTTGTTAAATCACAGCCTAATTTTTTTATAATAATTATTTAGTTGTTTTTTGAAGATACTTCATTCGATGTATGATTCTAAGAAAATGACATATAATACTGCAGTGTATGTAATTATTAATAAAACATTGTATTTTAAAACTTTTCACAATAATTTTGTCAACTGTATTAGTAGAAATATCCAACTTATCTAGAGGCTTAGCTAGTCCGCTAATTGGTGGGTTATAATGACAGTTAATTATTATTTTTTAATATTTATTTATTTTCATTCTTAATGGAAAAAAAAAATATTTTGAACCAGATCGAATATGATAATTTTTGGTGATGAACCATATTGCAGACATTGGAAATGTTGTTTAAAAATTTAAAATAATATTCGAAATAAGGGTTTACTCCAACTAAAAAGTTAGGAATTTTAATCTTATGTTTTAAATAAATAACTAATAACAATTAAAGTCTATTATAAAAAAAGGAAAATTTTTGAAAATGACCTATAAATTTTGAATTGAAATGTTCAAATATGAAAAATCGAAAAATTTGAGAATGACCTTAAAATGAAAACATATAGAGTTTAGTTATAATGAATCAATTATTATATAACGATTCCCTAACTATTGTATAATAATAATGCCTGAGTTATGAATATTTCGAAGAATTGTCATGATAAGTATATTAAATTATATAATATTATATATTAGGGCTTTTTTGAATGATTATGTTTAGCCTGTAATCTTCGCCGATTCGTCGAAGCTTCCGTCGTCTTTCTTCTTCCCTTTTTATTTCCATGACATGTAAATATCCGTCCGATGTGTCTCCTCATGTTTGATAAGAACTTTCGAAATTTATCGTATACTATATCAATATCAACTGGATCAACTCCTTCATTAGCCGAACGCTTGTCCGTACTTAGTTTTATTCTGGTCCTTGCGGCAACAACATTTATGGTTGTATTAATTGGACGACCTTTCAATAAACTGGCAGCCATTTGGATATCACAGAGTATCCCACGAAGTGAGTTATTGAGATGTTCTAGTCGCTGGAGATTAGTGTTACTTATGTTGTCACTTTTATTTGAATTAACTGTAAAATTTTTGTTGGGATTGGAAGCGTGACCAAGTAAACGGTCAACAGTAAGAGCATAAACTTGCAAATGCTTGTGCCAAGTGCTTAAAGTGAGCTGGAATTTGATTTTGTTGAGTTGTTTATTTTTTAGCTATTTATTATATATTATAGTCTAATTATTATTAATGATAATATGAGAATGGGAAGATAAGTATTACTTAATATTTTTTAAAGCGAAAAGCAAAGAAGCATTATAATGTGGGATGAGATAAAGAAACATGTAATCAAAACCAAATTATCATAATGTTTAAAGAAGTCATAAACACCAAAACCACAATCGAAATACAAAGCTGTGCTTAAAAAAATACATTTGAATCTTTCGTCTGAATTATTTTTACACTTCAAATTTTTGAGTAGTACCGCCGTTTGTAGACTTGAAGTAAAGTTGAGGTTACTTAATAAAGAAGATATATGTATCTATTATGAAAATCATACTTTAAGTTTGTATGTCAAAAACATGCTATAGTGGTAGGGTCTGTTCCCCAATCGATGACGATGGAGCTGTCGTTCCATTAATGACCATGAAGAAGTTCGAATAGCCATTACCAGTCCGAAGAACAAGGCAGATGGATTTCAGCAGAGCTATTCAAGCACGGCGGCGAAGAACTGATAAGGTGCATGCATCAGAATCTTTGTGGAATATGGTCGAACGAAAATATGCACAACGACTGAAATTTAAATGTGCTCTGCTCAATCCACAAAAAGGGAGACTCCACAAACTGCCCCCCCAACTACCGAGGGACTAGCCTCCCCAACATCGAATATAAGGTTCTATCGAGCGTATTTTGTGAAAGATTAAAGCCCACCGTTAACAAACTGTTTGGACTTTATCAGTGTAGCTTTAGACCTGGAAAATCAACAACCGATCAGWTATTCACCATACGCCAAATCTTGAAAAAGACCCGTGAAAGGAGAATCGACACTCACCACCTCTTCGTCGACTTCAAAGCTGCTTTTGACAGCATGAAAAGTAGCTGCCGTTATGCCGCTATGTCTGTATTTGGGAACCTTGCAAAACTAATACGGCTGTGTGAACTGTCATTGAGCTATACCAAAAGATCCACCAGGATCGGAAGGACCTTTCCGAGCCATTCGATACCAAAGGAGGATTCAGACTAAGCGACTCCCTTTCGTGCGACTTCTTCAATCTGCTTTTGAAGAAAATATTGATATCATTGGTCGATAATATTGATATTATTGGTCTCAACACCCGCCGTTAATTCTACTTTCTCCAGACTGGATAAATAAGCGAAGCAAATGGCTCTGGTAGTGAACGAAGGCAAAAAATACCTCCCATAATCAAAAGAACAGTCGGCGCACTCGGTACTAGGCGATCACGTCTCTGTTGGCAGTCATAACTTCGAATTTGGTCTATCTTGTAACCAGCATTAACACCAATAATAACATCAGCTTCGTAATCCCATCCAGAATAACTCTTTCCAACAGGTGCTACTTCGGAATGAGAAGGCAAGTGAGAAGTAAAGTTCTCTCTCGCCCGAGAAAGAGCAAACTCTATAAGTCACTAATTAATTAAGGGTTCGTCTCAGGGTGAAATTTTCAAGAAATCGAGTTTTTTTTGTTGCATTATCGGATAGTATACACTATAATAAGCATTCACTCAAATTGAAATTCAAATTATAACGGAGCTACAGCGTTTCTTGTAGAAAGGGAACAGAGTGAGGACCGCAGCGACTCTAATCTTTTATTTTTGCAATTTCCCATTTTCTTTGCCACGAAAAGCTGTCGAAGAACAGAGCTAAATTCGATACTTTTTGTTCGAACCGTCGCCATTTTATCCAATTTCAAAAGAAAAAAACGAAAAAAACAACAACAAGCTTCCATCACGCGATAGCGACTTTTCTCAGATTAATAATATTTTTGAAATTTTTGCTTTGGACCGAAATTGCGGCCTTACGTATCATTTCAACAGTTTATTTAACTATTAAACACCAAATTAATATATATAAAAAATCATTTTGTATTCGTCAAGAATGTATTTATTTACAAAAACAAAATCGGAATGATTAGTTAATTTCAACATAAAAAAATCGTGAAAATTTGTAATTTTTCGGAGGGTCACACTGAGATGATGCCTTCAAAACATGACAATAACATTGCCTAAGTTGCCTTCAATAATAAAATAATTATATTCAAAATTCGCTCACCAAAAGAAAAAAAAAAAACAAAAAAGAAACAATTAATATTAATTGCGCTCGCATGGACTTAATTAAAATTATGTCCATAAATAAATCTCAATTATCGAAAACTGAACGCATAAATGACAAGATTTGCAATTTTCTACGCTATAAGTCAAGCAAGCCCAAGACATGCGTTGCATTTGTAATTGGCAGGGGACTTTTTGTACCCGGTGTGACATTTTACAGTCCGAGCTAAAGCAATTATGTATGCTTATCATGTGCATGTGTGGAGAGCGTAAGTGAGAATTAAATTGCTTATTTTTTTTGTGTGTTCTACTTTTATTGGAGTGTAGCGACTTGTGCGGTTGTGACAGCTGTCATGAGCCGGTTTTTAGGAAACTCATTAGCAACTATCGAGATAAGTGCAATTATTTTAAATTTTTTCGAATTTTCTTTGATTTTTTTCGAAAAATATTTATCTATTTATAATTAAATGAAATTGGTTTTTATCATTTGCAGTTTAGTTTATATCAAATCATTTGCTTGTATTAGTGCTAAATATCAATGTATAGCAATTTATTTTTTACAACTTCAAATGACATTTTCTTATAATAATATTTATGAGCCTATATGCCTTATCAATGATTAGTATCAAATGTTGATCTTTTGGCTTTAGTGATAACATCAAATTAAAATAATTACTTATAAAATTCAAATTAGTTTGACAGCAATTAAGAAAATTTATACAAATTTTGTAATAACAATAATAATCTGTAAGCCCTATAAATAGTTAGTGAGCATTTGTGTATGCTTGTACATATGTATGTAGTCAGTCACTTAGCAATATAAACAGAAAGTGAAAACGTCGCTATTACATATTTATTTATTCATTTATTCAATTAAGCATTTATTTGTTTATTTGGCTTTTGTTATTGGCTTTACGCTAAGTCATTGATAGCACACTTAACAAGTCACAAAGCCGCATGTTGAACAATACGAGCAATAATAATAATAATATTACGCGCGCACATTCATACTCAAAGTAATGAATGCAAAAGCGAGCAGAAGCCAGTGTCGAAATGTCAGTATGTATATGATATGTACTGCTGCTTTGGACTGAGTAGGCAATTGAGAAGCAAAGACCTCTCTCGACGAACAAAAACCAGACTCTTTAAGTAACTGATAATTCCCGTCCTGCTATATGGTGCAGAGGTCTGGACGATGAAAACAACTCATGAGTCGACGTTACGGAGTTTTCGAGAGAAAAGTTTTGCGATAGATTTATGGTCCGGCGAATATCGCATTCGATGGAATGATGAGCTATATGAGATATTATATATGACGACATTGATATAGTTCAGCGTATTAAAAGACAGCGGCTACGCTCGCTAGGAATAAAGAGTAAAATCGGCTCTTCATAGAACATGTATGCTGGAAGAAGGGCATAAATTCATGCTATATGGAAGTATCAGAAATGCCTTTAGTAATGCTTAGTGTTTTAAGTAGTTGCGTTGCGACTAATCGCAAGACGTTCAATACTTCCCTCATTTGCCACGCTTTTCCTGTTTTTTTTTTTCGATTGCATATTATAATAGTTTTGTAACTTGTCAGTTGTTTGTATCAACTAATACTAATCCAGAAAGAGATATATAGGGTTCTATAAATATATGGAGTAACTGTCTCGCCCTCTATTAAGTTTAATGTACATCTCTTTAACTACTAAATCTACAACAACCAAATTTTCCTAGCACCAATTATATAAGAATTCCAATCGAGAGTGTCAAAATGGATGAAATCGGAAGATAACCACCAATAACTACTAAAAGCGCAATAAATCAATAACTAATTACGCCACAGACATTAAATTTTACCCCCGGTATGATATTAGAAGTCTTTATGGGAGCCGATTTGGAAATTGGGACGATGGGTGTAGCACCGCCCACTTTTTGTGGAAATCACATATGTTGAGAACCGCTCTACCGATTACAACTAAATTTAGTATGTTGCATTCTTCTCAAATGCCTATGGCTCAGTGCGAATGTGGCCGAAATCAGATTTAAATTACGTTTGATTCTATCACTTTCCAGTACATAAATGACGAAGAAATTGATATAACGTGATAAAACATTGCACTAATAATTTCTTTAGAGTACAGCATCTTATGATCAAAAATTTCCCAAGTGGATCTAAGATTTAATATTATATTTTGATAATTAGAATTTTTTATTAAATTTAACATTACCTTAACGAAATCTGTTTTTTATTTCAAAATGCCGTAAAACTTCTTTTTTAATAGAATATCCCGGAGATCAGCTGTATTTCTTTTCCAAATAAATATTTTTATTAGTACTAAGTCTTCAAATACAATTAAGATAGTATCTCGGGTGTACAAATTTTTGGCTTAATAAATTTAAAAGTTTTCTTAGAAAAAATTCTGGAAAAATCGTTTTTTTCGCCTTCTAACTGTACATTGGGTAGTCGTAAAAGTATTTTCGTATTTTGCCAATTGATGTCGTTGCAGTGCTACAATATAGTGTTGGAAAGATGAGATTCTAATATTAAGCTTCATTTGACAAACCAAAAAAAAAAAAAAAAAAAAAAAAAAAAAAAAAAAAAAAAAAAAAAAAAAAAAAAAACAACCAAAAAAAAAAAAAAAAAAGTTGAAAACAAGTTACAGGTGTTCAAAAAGAAGTGAAAATAATGAAATTCGTTATATTTTGAAATTTTTGTCTAAAAACGGCAAGAATGCCACGCAAGCCGCCAATGAAATTGTGAAGTTTACGTAGACGATGCTGTATCAGTTCGTGTAGCTTAACAATGGTTCGCTCGCATCCGTTCTGGAAATTTCGAAATTTTGGCTTACACTGATGAAAGTTTTACATTGATAAAATTACTTATGTTTCTAACGGAAAAATAGCAAAAAGTGGTACACCAACTACTAACTGCCGCTTATGCCCTCCGAAAAAAAGTGATTGTACAAATATTGTTATATTAGCCTGGTACAACTGAGTTCAAGCGTAAAGCTATTTTAATCGCTCACACACACAAACTTTTGTTCGCCAGTTTTGGGTAAAAGCAATTGCTATACGAATTTAAGCGAACAGTTTTTTCGTCGCTTTGTCCGAAAGCTTTAAAATAAATTAAGAGCTGCTGACGTGCTTATATGCCGGCGCGCCGACCTTGCCGCTCACAGCCGCTCGCACTCTCTGCAATCGCACAAGCTAACGGGGATTCCACCGGCGCTGTGGCTGATTCATGCATATGTTGAAAATAAAATTTGCGCGCGCACGCTGAACGCTTTGGGCAGAGGCCCGGCAAAATGCTCGAAACGCCACATATCCACACAAATGCGCACAAACAGTCACAAGCGAGTAGCGATCAGCTGCTAACGGCATGTTTAGTTAGCATTTTTCGCTGTTAAGCTTTCAATAAGTTAATTTATACGTACAAGTATACGAGTACATACATATGTATAAGTATACGTGTTTGAAGAATTCGATTTATTTGTACACTTCGTTGAATATTTGCTTTTTGCTCCGGTTTTGTGACGTCTGCAAGTTCATTCAATAAAGAATTCTACGAAATTTCGATGATGTGTATACGCCATGGTGGGCGCTTGTTGTCTGTCGCATGCCGGCGATCGCTGTTCGCTGCTGTCTCAGCGAGCGGGAAGGCAAATATAATTGGTTGTTTAATATTTTGTGCATATCGTTGTCATATGTGTTTGTTGTTTATTTGCAGTAGGCACACAGGCAACCAGTTATATTTAGACGAATGTGCTCATAATAAGTGTAAGTGTAACAACTGGAAAAGCCCGCCTGACTGATATCAATTACAAGCAGCTACTAGTTGCAAGTTTAGTTCGTGTTCGGGAGGGTATAATGGCGCTGGCACACATAACTCACATATTGTGACGATCATTCGCATTTTTCTGCAGAATTACGATATATGCATGTATGTACATACATAGCACATATGATTGTTTGTGCCGTAAAAAGACAAATATTGCGACGGGCAAACAATTATTGGCTGTTATACTTAGAAATTGCACGAGCACGCAAATTCTAGCAATGAATTGCAGTGACCCAAGTCACTTGGTCCAGGAAAAGCACAATTAGGTCACTAAAAATTGTGGCAGCAAGTGAAAGGCAATAAATTATATGGCTGAGTGAAGAGAAGCAAAAAGAAGAGAGCCATCTATGGGTGAAAGTGTGAACATGTTTAAGTTTGATGTGTTTAAGCAGTTTGTACAGTGTGTTAGTCATGAATATTAAACGATTAAATTATGTAATTAAAATACAACATATGAAAGAATTATAGTCCATGCCAAATTTCGTTAGGATATTTTGTTAAATAGAAAAGTTATCCATACAGGGACAAGTTTGATGGGTCAGTTGATATGGCCGCTGCCAGGTTTTTCTGTAAGTTTTGTCGTTCGAGCAGAAAATTGTATTGTATTCGTGGTACATTCTTTATATGAACGTATGCGAAGTTTCATTTCGATCTGTCAATTCATTCTTTGTTTACATGCCATTTAGTATCACCTTGTCACAGTATTTTTTTACAATGGAAAAATTGAATATAGGCCAGTAATAAAATTCTTAGTTTTGGAAGGTGTACCACCAATAGAAATCCAGAAACGAATGTTAAACAGTGTAAATTGATTATTCACCTGAAATTAGAACACTAGAAAGATGGGTTACTGAATTTGAACGCCTTGAAAACGATCCACTTTAAGAACGTTTAAAAATCGTATCAACAGTAGAAAGCTGTGTGCACAATAGGGCCCGCATTCGCTAACAATGGAACAAAAACATATTCGAATGCGACTTTCTCAGCAACATTTGGGACGTTTTAAAAACGATAAAGCGAAGTTTTTGCGTCGGTTCACCACTGTATGAGACTTGGGTCTATAACCATGATTCTGAATCAAAACAAAAGGCTAAAGAATGGTATGAACCTGGTTGTTCGGCTTCGAAATGTTTCATGTCCGAAAATCGGCCAAGAAGGTTATGACATCAGTGTTTTGTGATACGAGTGGAATTTTTTCGTGGAATACTTGAAAACTGGTAAAACAATTAATTCTGAATATTATTGCAACCTTTTGGATTAGTTGAAGGAAAAAAATTGTGAAAAAATACCCGGTTTTCAGAAGAAAAAAAAAATTTTTTTTTCATCAGGACAACGCAACATGTCAGAAGAGCATTTTCACAATGGTATATATATATAGTGGTCCGATATTGGCGGTTACGACTAATAAGAAACCTCTTGAAAAGGAAAGAATGTATGCGATATTTCAGATCGACATTTCCAATACTAAGGGAATCCAGATAATAAAAAAAAATGAAATTGAATTTAGAGAGTAAGCAAGGACTAAATTGATAAAAAGTCTAAAACTCCAGTTCATTAATTGCGTACTTTTACTCATTTTTATATAAATGATCAAAATTGTATGTATTTTTATTAAAAACAAAAAGTACGAAATTTTTATTTAATTTTTGCAAACGATTTTTCGGCAATTTTCAATAATATTATACTTCCTATAATTCTCGTTAAAAAGTCATATTTAAAAAAATTATTAAATTAAAAAATTATATTATAAAACAATTTTTGTCGTCTAATTTTGTGAAAGTGTTTCACTGTAAGTAACAGTATAAGCTGATAAGAATTTCAGAGTGGGTGTGTAGAGCTTTTAGTATTGTCAATAACTTCTGCGAGTTTTGATAAAAAATGTGTTATTTTTTATTGTTGACTTATCACACGTTACTTGTCACACCCGCACCGTTTCGCACAATTTTATGAATGAATTAGTGCGCTTTATTTAACAATTATCGTCGATACTGCTATTGAAGCTTTTGAAACTATTGAGTGGGGTCAGTATTGACTATGTTCTTTTGATTTGTATTCAATGATTGCTCCAAAATTAATATATGATTTATGTCTGTAGTAGTATAGTGTATTATTCTTCGGCTAACGAAGCTGCTATAAGCATTTTAAGCTAGTAATAAGCAAGCGAAAGAAGAAGCATATGCAGCTAATGAAAATATTTAGTGGATCAATGTAAAGCAAAATGGCGATTAAGCACAAATGATAACATTATTATTGGAACCATCACAATATGAAAGCGATAAAAGAAGCGAAAATGTATTATAAATAAAATATGTTTAACATATTAAAAATGTTTGAGTTACTTACATTTTTTCTTCCGGCAACTTTTAGAAATGCATATGAGTGTTTGGAATATACTTTTGACACATTTTTAGGACCCATAAAAGGTCTTAAGGCTTTAATTTGTTTCGTAAGATTTCCACGTAGTTCGCAAAGTACCTAAAAATATACAAAAAAAATATATATATGTATGTATATATTTATATACATATATATATGTATATAGTGGATATTTACTATAGCTTAAGTGGTTATATACTCTTTCATAATATTAATGAAAATATCGATTTTTTAAATAATAAATTTTTTCTAACAAAATAAAATAAATGAAAAATAAATTGACGTATTTTTTCTGATTTACATGTGGATATAATCGCTTTATATTTAAATTTGATAAATATGTATATGTAACTATAAGGAAATGGCTAATTCAACAATATATTAATGACGAATGGGCTCTGTTGTCTACGATTTGCGATCAAATAAGTTGTGAGCTTAATACCATGCTCTCCATAAAAAAAGTTCTCAAACAGACTTTAAGGGATCCTCGACCGGAAATGTCGTCGCAATGTCCGTGTTCAAAATATTTTTTTCCGAAAATTTCAGAATAAAAATTTTAATAAAATATTTAATTTTTTAGCTGAGAAAAAATTTGTTGAAAAATACTGTTTTTTACACGAGGAAACCGAGGTAACACCATAACTGTCTAAGGTTGATATCAGAGTGGAAGCGAGAACAAAAGAATATAAACAGTGAATGTAATATTTTATCTTTTAAACTCCGCCAATATATAGATACATTTTATATCTCTGCAATAATAGACATTCAACTATTTCCTAATAATATGGCAATAAATCCTCAAGAAGCATTGGACAAGTTTTTTAAGTATCTTATTTTGCCTTTTGATAAATTAATGATAACAATAAATGCAAAACAGTAAAGAAGGAAACAACAAACACTAATAATTGCAAAAAGAGTTCAAGCGAGAGACCACTACACAATCTACTTTACCGCTTTGTCGTTTTCGTCTACTAGCTTCTCGTTTCCACTATGGCATCAGCTTAAGTATTTTATGGAAATTTGAATGACACTAGATCTAAATGTATAAAAATTATTCTAGGCGAAATAATGTACATATCGTCACCTAAAATGCAAAATAACCTAACATCACTTTTAAATACACACATAAGAATAAAAGCGAAGGAAAACAATAATAATAGAAACCACTCCAACCACCAATCTGAGTTTTGGTTTTAAAATTATTATACATATTTTGGTTATATTGGTGACAGCGGAAGCCAAAAATTGTATGCTATAATACATACAGTAAATTTCGTTTTTTTTTTTTTTGATGATACATTGTTTTGAACTTTATGTGACGGTAAGTGAAACAAGATTCTACTCAATTGGCCGCTAAAGTTACCTCTACTTTCACCTTAACTACGTGAAATAGTGATAAAAAATGTACTAAATGGTGGACGCACCATATATATTATATTTATATAACAAAGGTAAACAAAATAATTTGTTTTTGCGTTTCTGATTTTAGGCATTGAAGACACTGAAATTTTTATTTTATGCTCCTGCCTTCCACAAAAGCAAATTTTAATAAAAAAAATCTTTATTTTTGATATTGGAGAAACTGAAATTTTATATGCAAAAGTCAGACCCAAAAACTGCGTCATCCGGTGTAACCTGAATACGATAGTCTGTTGTTGTCAAGGTCGAAATTCAAACGCTTATTTTGAGGAAACATATTCAGTGTGAAATTTCGAAATAATATTTTTTTTTGATTAATTTGGAATACTTCGATAAAAATAAAACACTAAATTTTCAAAGTAACATTTCAACACAGTTTTCTAGAACACAAACGTATTATTCTCAAAACTACGTTTTTCAAATGGGCTGCAGATGATACAGCAAAACAAATCTGCTTTGATTTTTTCCTACTAATATTTCAGCATTTTTATTGTATAAGTGGCGAAAAATCATTTAATTTTTCAGCAAAAATTGAATTTTTTTTCAAAGTCTGCCAAGTTAGTTAAATTACAACAGAAAATATTTGAAACCGTTAGTCATTGTATATGCAATAGCCGTTTACGACCTTTTTAAGTGTCTCTAGAAGCATAAATCGCCCAAAATTATTAATTATTTTTCTTTGAAATTATTTGTGTATATTTGTTAAATATTAAAAAAAAATCATGCTGAAAATTTTTAAATATTGCTTTCTATTAAAAATTGCCAAAACTCAACTTTTCTTATGCCCTGATGGACTGACATACACTCAAAACTTTATAGAGAATAATTTTACCAAAAACCACTTAAATATACTGGTTACTTACCTTCGCACGCGGTGCTATTTTACTGACATGTTGCTTATTCGCACTGTCATATTCGAGCGTATAACCACAAGCATTAGACCAAGACGCAGGAGCTGCTTCTATTAAGCTCGGAGCAGGTAAAGACAAAAGCAAGAACAACATTGTTATCAAAGTGAAGGACAATAGATTCCTGAGCAATTGTCTTGTATTAGTAGGCGACGGCGCAGTTGCTGGTATGTGACATTTCGGCAAGCTTGAAATATTGGCAACATTGTTAGCATTCGTGATATTATCAATATCAACAGCCACTAGAACTTTCATAGTCAATTTAGTATCATCACTTTGCTTATTTGCGCTTGTATTATGACTTTTTGCTTCGCTTTTAGTCCACATTTGCTTGTGGGTCTTAACACGCCGTGCACACATACCGATCGATTGAGTGTCACCTATACACTTGATAGAGCGCAGTGAGATGCTTGCTGAACGTTGAGCGGCAGTCACTGTAAATTAAAAAAATAAATACATCATTAATTGAATCGATTGAGTAATAAACATTGCTCAGTGAAGATTAACTGATTTTAGTTGCTATTTAAATGGGCAGTTCAACATTTCATTTGCAACTAATTGAGCGAACATACATATTTGAATTCAACGGTTGTGAGCTAAGCGAAAAATGTTAACGACTAACTACTTGCCGCAAGCTGTTCACACAGGTAGCTGCTGAATGCGGGAACCCCACAATGGGCACGGAATTTCCTCATAAGCGCGTGCTACGCTGCTTTGATCATTATTGGAATTGGTACTAGTATAGCTAGAGATTTTAGAATGTCTCGAACACACAACGTTAACAACGTACATACATACATGCCTAAATAGTAAAGGTTGCGTTTACAATTAACTTGCGAAGTGTTTGAGGCGATTCGAAAGCTTAGTAACAATTTTTGGGGGTTTTCCCTAGCACTCGCAATCGGTCATAAATATATTTTCCTATATTTAACGATGGGATTAGTTTGCTTACGCAGACACTTAATTGAGTTATTAAATAAGAAACTTTTTTAAGATAATTGCTTTTAACCTTTTACTACAAATCGTCAGGTTGTTATTTGAATTTGTGAATATTTTCACTTTAGTACATGACAATCGACGTTATTTATCCATTTATCTATGGTTTTTATTCGTATAAGGGATTTTGTCTTTTCTAAAGCTGTTGTTGCATGACACCCAATAACCTGTAGTAGGAAATTAACTCAATTATTATATTTGGAACTTCGAATGGATTTGTGATGCAAAGCTTTTTGGAAAGTTTTCTGGAAGATTTCAATTTGGTTATATACATTTCTGTTGCGAATAAAAATAGCAGTCATAATTTTTTGTTATTCAACTCTACTTTGGCGAGACAAAGCATATAATTAGTGCCCAAGGCTTTGCTATAAAAACTCGTTCCGACAGACTTTACTAAAGCGTACAGCTTGTCTGGCGATTTTTAGGTTAGAAAAAAAATTGAAAATTACTTGACGTTTTTTGGTTTGGTTTTATAACTGTTTCAAGTAATCAACATTTTTTACGAACACAAGTGTTTTAGAGACAAAAAGGATTCAATGAAGGTGTTGAAGGCATCAAAAACTGGACTCGTGTGAGTCGTCCATCCTTCTTTCTGAATGCAGACAACATCCGGAAAGGTTAAAGAAAAAATGTACTGAAAATCATTGTGTTGGCATTAGAGAAATAGCGGAGGATCTCAATATCTCTTATGTTCAAACTGAATATATTTTGGTTAATATTTTGATTAATATTTTGGTTAAAATTTTAATATGTAAAGAGTGTCAATGCTAGACATGTACTTAAACACCTCAATTGTTTGTAAGATAAGCTCAGCAGAGTAGTTGGGAACCTTATATTCGTCGTCATTGTTGGAGACAAGTTGTGGGTTTATAAATATGACTCTAAGTTTCTCAGTTTATTTAAGACTAAGTTAGTCTAAGAAGTCGATTCTAAAAGGGCAACCTTGGGCAGCGTAAAAGGCCAGTCTGTTGTGGTACCTAAAACTCCCATATAACAGATCACTTAACCCTTATAAATCGACAAAGCGTTTTGAGCAAATTTGGTGCGACGACTAATGCCACCTTCGACTATGGCTTCTTGTTGGCCGAATGTAAGACTGCTCAAATTTTTTGACTTTAGTGTTGCAAAGGCTGTCCAATAAAGACCCACCACACTCTCCTCAATCTTTAACGACTTTCGTCTGACAAGAATTTTAGACTTACTGGTTGCCTAAAATTAAGATTTACAGACAGACCAAGCTACCCACATATATTCGACCCATTTGTGAAAGACCGTTTTCAGTTTCTTGTTCCCATCCACAAATCCCTCAACGGTACGTAAGCAGAGAAAAATGCGGCACGAATAGCATCTGCGACGCAGTGATCCACGTTTTCAGAAATGCCGGAAACGGAAACTCTGTTCTTGTACTCTCCTTCATACCCAGCTTTATTGAGCACACTTCGCAACAATATGCACTTATCAGAAATGTCCTCGGTTGATATGAGTCAAATGACATGTCCTGGCCCAATTTAAACAGTAAGTGCTCAGCCTAACATGCCTTAGAAATGCAAAGGTATTTGATACTGAAAGACTTGAAACTAAAACTGTTTCGCTACGGCCAAACTCTTTATTCAAACGCACATATTAGTAGTGGCTCAGTGGAAAGTCCTTCAATTTAGTTGTGAAGTCCTTTCGCATCCACCTTTTAGTCCAGGCCATGAACCATGGTATTACTGCCTGTTTCTGTGCCGACTTATAATTTTGCTGGAAAAAAGTTTGCCCCAGTAAGTATGTTAAACTCGACTAGCTCAGTCGATAATTTCCTAGAGAGTGGAATTCTGAAATAAGCTTCGAAATGGCAACAAATTATCGAGCAAAGCGGTGAATATTTGACCTCAATCGAATCATTTTAACTGTGCTAAACAAGGCCTTCAATTCAATGCAAAAATAAAGGTTTCGCTTTTAATAAAACTTAAATAATGAAATCTCTCATAAGCGGGCACTGGTGGGACCAACCTGACCTGTTGATATATTGCCTAAATAAATATCAAAAAGTGTTTGGACCAGTGAAAATTTCCGATTAATAGAGTTTTCACTGTATTACATAAATATCAGATTGCTTGAAATAACTTACCAAGTCCTAGATTTAAAAACAGTGGAAACTGGGAGACTTTACTTCACAACACCGGATAAATCAAAAGGTTATCTATGAGTGGCTTTGTAGTGTCCGCTGCTAACTTTTATATCTGGTGAAATTCATGGGCAACGTGATTAAAAGCCGACTTATTGCTAAGTAGTTAGACATTATATAATATGATATAATATATATACTATAATAATATATGGATGAATATGTTCGAGTCAAGCGACACTTTTCCAACGAAACGACATATTGTTTTCACTTGTAAATTAATATAATTAAAATGGATTTTAAAGTGTCAAAGCGTGCCCATTATGAAAATTTTCAAAACATAAACTGAGCGTAAGAAACCTGTTTATGACTTGTGTTCTTTCCTATGTTTGAATATTTTTTCTACAAAGTCTAGTTTCATTGATCACTAGCAGACTGCATGTCGCCACCGATATCGCGAATTGATTAATTTAAAACCAGAAATACAATAACACAAATTTGTTATTGTAGCAAATTTGCTGCGGTTTTCAGTGCCTGGAGACAGGTGTCTTACGGTATGTTGGCAGATTTCTTCTAGTTGCTAAGTGGGTTATGGCGTATCGTTTATTAAATTATCATTTGTTGTGTAATTGAATCAAGTTGTTGGGCCTAATTGTGAAAAGTGTATATGTGTAGACATGGCGAATGCGATGAATAGTGAAGCGTGTGATCGAGCGCCAAATAGAAGCTGAACAATCTGATACAAACGATTGTATCGAAAAATCAGTAAACGGTGCTAAAGTACGAACCAATTGCTGCTTGATTTGTCAACTTCCTATCTTTTGAGCGCATCTCCCTTTACAAAAAATGTATTTACGGACAACAATAAAATTATTGAGTTGTAGAGAGTAGTGAAGACTTCTTTACGATGGTGTAGCCGATAACTTCAATGTTACCAAATTTTGTTTTATATATTTTAGGTATTAGAGAGTTTGATTTTATAAATAAATTTTACTATTTTGAATGGTTTTTTGTGTTATTGATTTTAACATTAGAGACACGAAATAATTTAGTGATATGATATGGATCAACTCCCGATTTATCAAATCGCTATCTCTCAGCGAGTTTGGTTTAAAGACAGGTTCTATTATTGTAAATGGATCAAAAGGCCAACTACTGTGAAAAACTGTAAAAGCAATTTTTTTAGTTTTAAAATTGAAGACATGAGAAAAATGGAAACTGATCCAAGAAAATATAAATGATTATAAGATTACTGGAGCAAAGAAAATGTAGTATTAAATAGTTGGTTGTTTTGGGGTTTTCAAAAGAGCACTACAAAAGTAGACCGATAGGCACAGGCGCTCTTTTGACATTTCTGCTCAACCGACCGAAGTCACTATTGCATTCCGAAAAAATTTCGCTTTAATGAGGTTTATGCGCCGGCGGTGTTATTGTGAATGGGAATCGGTAACGTTCAATGATAACCGAATATTTTTGGCTCGAATGGGATGTATGGACTTGGACAATATGTGGCTCTAACAGGATGGCGCCACATAGCGAATATCACAATCGATTTATTGAAAAACAAGTTTAGTGAACGTGTTATCTCACGAAATGGCCTAGTCAATTGGCAGCCTTGGTCGTGCGATTTGATGGCGTAGATTATTTCCTCTAGAGCAACGTAAAGTCTATAGTCTATGCCAACAAGCCAGCGACGACTGATGAACTTCATATGAATATCGAATCATACGAAGTTCAGCTACCGGACTTCTGCAAGCGTGCCTTTAGTCGCCATGCAAAAGAAATCGTGTTCCATACATAACAGTATCGAATGTACTTTAACAGGAATAATTTCATTGATGTCGCATACGTTTTCAAATTAAAATTCGTTTTTTACAGTTATTCAGTGTTTGTGTTTAATATTTTTTCTTTCACAAAAATATTTCGATTACAAAGTAAATCGGTGCAGTCATTTTTGTAATTGTCTTCCACTAATTTTAAGACGGACATATTTGTAAATTAATTGAAGTTACATAAAGCAAATATATCTACATACACATAAATTGTTTAACAATTGTTGATATTTGTACACTTGATGAAAAAAAATTAAGTATACGCACCAGCATCCATATTTGACCAATCAAGATGATTAATTATTTTAAAAAATATA